AATTGCAGCAATTCTTTTTTTAGATCTCTGGTTGAGTTCACAGGTGTTCAGAATGATTTGATAGCTATTTAGCTGAATTCCTGGGACCAGACAAAGCTAAGGTCTCTTACTCATTGGCCATTTTGGAAAGTTAAAAAAAATATTTTTTCAAAATAAAGAATCAAAGACGCCTGGTGGCTCAGTTGGATAAGCATTGACTCCTGATTTTGGCTCAGGCCATTATCTCAGGGTCCTGAGATAAAGCCCCACATAGGGCTCTGCACTGGGAGTGGAGTCTGCTTAAGATTCTCTTTTTCCCTCTCCCTCTGCACCCCCCTCTCTAAAAGAAATTTTTAAAGATTTTTTTATTTATTCATTCATGAGAGACACACAGAGAGAGAGAGAGGCAGAGACATAGGCAGAGGGAGAAGCAGGCTCCATGCAGGGAGCCCGATGTGGGACTTGATCCCGGGACTTGATCCTGGGACTCCAGGATCACCCCCTGGGCCAAAGGCAGGCACCAAACCACTGAGCCACCCAGGGACCCCCAAGAAATAATTTTTTAAAATTTCTGTATACCAAGAAATAAATTTTTAAAAACACAAAGAATCATTGAGAAGGGTAGCATTAAAAAAAAGAGAGAGAGAGAGAAGGGTAGCATTGTTTTACATTTTTGCAAATCTAACATCCAGCTTACAGAAAAGTAGCTGGTTTTTCATACTTCTGCATTCTGTATTCTCTTATTGTTTTAGTTATACTATATAAAGAAAATCTGGCCTCACACTGATATGTGGTTGAAAAAGAGGGGAGTATTTTAATGATCATTTTAAATGTTCTTCTTTGATACTATACTAAAATTTAGTGGGTGGTCATTTCTTAAAGGTTAAGTTAAAGTTGCAACTTGAAATCTGATACTATATTAATGAACTTTTTATACTATGTTACATTAAAATCCACTGTTCTTTGACTCTTGCCCTTTGAATGGGTTGTTTATATGTGATCTTGTAACATCATGTGCTGATAATTTAGGAAATACTGCTTCACTAAGTTATGCAGATCTTCCAAATGTTTATAATTTTATTATTTATTGTTAAAAATAAATTTTCACTAATATCTATCCTGATCTCATCAGAAAAATCTTTGAGTATTCAGAAGCTTTCAAGCTCACATTAGTAGAGGTAACAAAAACTTTTTTCTTGGTAACAAAACTTTTTTCATGAGTGACAGTGTCCGCTCCTATTTCAAGAAAACCAAGTCTGAACACCGTATTTGCCAGTCATCCTTTGGTATCTCACAAGGAAAGCAGCTAATTCAGCTCAAACTCAAAACAGTGCTTTTCCTTGAGACAACCATCATAACTTCAGTATGCAGAAGCTCTTTATGCATGATTTCCACTGTTGCACAGAATGTTAAAAAGATATATACTCAAGGGTCAAGGTCTAATAAAATGAATAATTTTTACTGCTTTATCAAGGACTTCATAAGTGAAACTTTTAAAAAAGATTTTATTATTTATTCATGAGAGACACACACACAGAGAGAAAGAGAGAGAGAGAGAGAGAGAGAGAGAGAGGCAGAGACACAGGCAGAGGGAAAAGCAGGCTCCATGCAGGGAGCCCAACGTGGGACTCAATCCTGGGTCTCCAGGGTCATGCCCTGGGCCAAAGACGGTGCTAAACCACTGAGCTACCCAGGCTGCCCATAAGTGAAACATTTTTTGTCTTGTTTACTGTGAGCATATGACAATGACAAGTACATTTGACTGCCAGGATCATTTAGTGCCACTGCCTAAATTCACAGAAGGAGCTTTACCTACCATTCTTTGCACCATTAGTAAAATGTCAACAGTGATTTTCAATTCCTGTTTTAGGATTTTTAAAAAGATTTATTTAGTTACTTGAGAGAGAAAGAGTATGAGCATGTATCCATGAGTAGGGGAGAGGCAGAGGGAGAGAGAGAATCCTCAATCAGAGTCCCCACTGAGTGTGGAGCCCCATGTGGCCAGATCCCAGAATCCTTAGATCATGACCTAAGTCAAAATCAAAGTTGGGGCAGTTGACGGGATGAGCTCTGGGTATTATACTATATGTTGGCAAATCAAACTCCAATAAAAAAATATACCAAAAAAAATCAAAGTTGGGTGCTTAACCACCTGAGCCACCCATGTGCCCTCTTGTTTTAGCATTATTAAGAAAATAATTTTAACTCTGAAAAGGTCTCGGGAATTTCAGGGGTCCGTAGACCACACTTTGAGAACTGCTGACCTTAAGCCTGTAGTCACCTACGTCATTGGGTTGTGTGGAGGATTAAGTGAAAGAGTAAAGTACAAGAAACAATTCCTGACACATAGAAAGGACTAAATAGATAATAACTATTATTATTACTATTGTTTTAAATGAAGAGATATATAATGGGAAAGGAGGAAATTTGGAGGAAGAGGAAAGATCTAACTTTTATTTAATACCTTTTACATGCCATTCCCTATTCTAGTTATTTTATATGTCATTGTATTTAATTCACAAAGCAACCCAGAGAGGAAGTAAATAATCCATTTTACAGTTAGGGAATGAGTTTAGAGAGATTAAACCTTTCACTCAAGGTCACAGAGTTAAAAAAAAAAAGGCATAATCCTCACTCACTTGACCCTTTTCACTTGGCACAGGTTAGGTAAGAGGGGGCTAGACAGGAAATCTATACCCATTCCCAAATTGAGAAGTAGTAGAACTGCCTTGAATCAAGAACTAACCCCTCTGACTTCGTACATTCATCTGAGAAGTACATTTTTTAATAAATTAATTTTTATTGGTGTTCAATTTACCAACATACAGAATAGCACCCAGTGCTCATCCCGTCAAGTGTCCCCCTCAGTGCCCGTCACCCATTCACCCCCACCCCCCGCCCTCCTCCCCTTCCACCACCCCTAGTTCGTTTCCCAGAGTTAGGAGTCTTTATGTTCTGTCTCCCTTTCTGATATTTCCCACACATTTCTCGAGAAGTACATTTTTAAAGTCTCAGACTTCCCACCTATTCCTGAGAGCTATTCTACATTAAACATTTTATTTTTATTTTATTTTATTTTATTATTTTATTTCATTTCATTTCATTTTAGAACATGTTCTATTTTAGCTGTTCTATATTTTAAGTTTTATTTCTAACTGAGGAAGTAAAGGTCTGCATGGTTAGCATTAGAATCCTAAGTCCTTGGAACCAGTGTAGAAGGGCAGCCTTACTTCCATGTAGTTAGAAGGACACATATCCCTCTGTTAAATGTAGAGACTCTCAACTGAACTAGAACTATCCTTGCATCACTAACCTAAACTTCTGTTTGAGGCAATGAAGTATGAATTATTGTTGTTACAAGCAAAGCACTATTTACATATCCAAATGGATATTTTTCTTTTCAAAGCAGTCCCCCTTTGGGGCGGGGATGTCTACATATTTCTTTTAATTGGGCTGGTATGGCTCAAAAGCGACATAGAAATCCTCTTTCAGAATTGCATCTTCTTTGAACGTAGTTTCAAGTTTTAGAAGCAGCCAGAATCTTTTGAGGCCAAATCTGATAGCTATGTGGCTCCAGAAGAGGACAACATCAGCTAATCTTCAGTAGTGGGTTTCTGGGCGATGTCTGGTTGATTCAGAACACAGTAAGTATTTTTTGAGCATCTACTATATCTAAGCACTGCTGGGTGCTGGCTTCTAAGAGCTTATGTGAACACAGTTCTGGAGCCGCACTTCCTAAATATTTTGATGTCACATTCTGAAATAAGGGTACAGTACCAAAGGACATCACATATCTGTATGTGTATATAGGTGCGTATATGTAAGATTTTTGCTACGTCATAGTAATCTTGTACATAACCCACAAGAATGTACAAGGAAGTCAATTCATCTACATTTTTGAGTACCAGGTACTATGGTAAGCAGTAGAAACTTTAAAAATGTCAATTGAAGGAGCCTAAACTCTGGTGGGACACAGACATATTCATTCAGCCATGAAAAAAATATAAATGACATAACAGAGATATGGATAGAGAGCAGGGGGGAGCAGGAGGGTGCTATCTGTTCCTTTAAAGCCAGATTGTAGCCATGTGATTCACTGGATTGTTATTTTTAAAAATCTAACTTTAGGCTTAATGTATATCTACCAAATATATTGTTCTGCAAACTTCAAGAAATTAGATAAAAAGTTCTCTGGCTCCGTAGTTGAGGAAGCGGCCAGACTAGCCAACAATCTTTTGGTATACCGTCTGGAGGTGCAAGGTCCAGAGGCAGTGCTGGGGGGTCACTGCCTTCAGCAGGCCTAAATTCCTTGTGCGGGGCAACTTTGAGGCTCCATGCAATACTCCTTATTTGTATTAAATCTGGATTTTAGAATACGAAGTGGCATTTGAATGTCTAGCACGTAGTAGTTTATAGTTTAGGAAAAAACCAAATGGAAGCCAGGTGGTGCCCTCAAGCTGCCAGTGCGTCTAATCTTCTAACGGAAGGAAAAGGCAGATGCTTTGACTGTTAAAATATGGAACTTTAAATTATGAAATTCTATGCACATTTACAGGGCACAACGTGATTGTCCTGTGGGTAGCTCTGCTCCACAGAGCCAGTCTGCAAGCTTAAGAAACACTTCAGTCAGCCCCACCCTCCGCTGGACTGATAGCAACCAGACAGGCCAAGGTGGAGACAGGCCCATTCTAAAGGTTTCCCTCCTTTTTTCCAAGGGACTGACCTTAACACACAAGGGCACCCAGGGCTGGAATTCAAACTTGGTCCAACTTCAACTTGGGAAAAAAATTCCTGTTCTATATGATATAAACGACTATTGTCCCCAGGGGCCTCTGAACCCCGAGTAAAGAGGAGGAAGTGAAGGCTGATGACCCTGTTGTGGGTTGCTCTGGCTCAAGGTAGCACGTATGTAGCACACAGGTGACACAGGGACAAGGAAAGATTTAGTGAGGATGAAGCCCAGCATGGCCCGCAGTGCTGACACAGACCCCGCAGAGGCCCATGGCAGCAGGCAAAGCTGCTTAGCTTCTTGGGCACTGTAGCCTGAGACATGCTGCTTTCCCCCACAGAGCATCTGGAAAGAAGATGTAGGACAGTGACCACAGCAAGCAGTAAAAAGCAGTTAGGGAGAACGGGGACAAAAGCAGCATGAAGATACCTAGAAGAAGAGAAAAGGTAAACACTTCATTTTTACGAAGCCCTCTTTTGAGTATTTTCCATCCTCTTCTCCCCCATCCCCGTCCCCCCATCCTTCCGTTTGTACTCGCAGTGCCTGAGTACAGAGCCAAGGAGACGGGAGCCCTACGCGTAAGAGGTAGCGTCTGTCTGTAACTAGACAATTGCAGTCTAATGCAAGCCCAGGTTCCGTTTTGTCAAATTCAGATCAGAAATCAGTCCTAGCTGAGAATAAAATTGAGTTGCCCAGACCCCTTGTTAGAAATACATATATTGTTACTGTGTGATAAGTGAGCTGGAATGGAGGGCAGTGTGACTGTTGTCCTGGACAGTCCCAAGGGCTACTCAGATGGACTCCTTTGGCACACTGGGAGGGTCAAAATGGTTCTGCTGGGTCCCTGCTATTGTTATTCCTCCCAATTGTAGAGATTTGTTTGTCGTAGTATTTCTTGATACTGTCAAAAAATTATCTGAAAATGGTTTTATTTTGTGAAGTGAATAATACTTTGTAATTTATGATAGTGTAAATGGAAGGAAAAGCATTAAATGTATTAAATTCTTCTATCAAATATATATATCAAATATATATATATGTATATTCCTAATTGTGTCAGTTTAACATGTGACAATGGTCAATACAATGTTACATGTATGCAGAAGAGCACAGCAGTCCTGAGACAGCTCTCCTTTGAGAGCCCTGCTTCTGCTTACCAGCTTGGCCCTTGGTTGGAGTCCTGGGACACAGCTAGTGAACAGTTCCTTTTTTTTTTTTTTAAAAAGTTTTTTTTTTAATTTTTATTTATTTATGATAGTCACAGAGAGAGAGAGAGAGGCAGAGACACAGGCAGAGGGAGAAGCAGGCTCCATGCACCGGGAGCCCGACGTGGGATTCGATCCTGGGTTTCCAGGATCGCGCCCCGGGCCAAAGGCAGGGGCTAAACCACTGCGCCACCCAGGGACCCTAGTGAACAGTTCCTTATGCCAATACAGAACTTTCCCTCACGGGCAAGAGTGGCTCCCTGTGCTTAGACTGTGCTGAGACTGATTCCCTCCTGTGCAAATCTAGAATTTTGGTACCGCTAGGCTGGAGGGGCTGATGTGGCCAGCCCCCTATAAAAACCTTGGGCACCGAGGATCTACAGAGCTTCCAGGTAGACAAGACTTCATGAGTATTGTCACAGTTTTGTGCTGGGTGGCCCCACAGGGAGGACAGTTTGTTTGTTTGTTTGTTTTCAGATAAATTGTGAAATTTATTTATATTTCACCCTTTAAAAGTCAGAACATAACAAATTTCACTTTCTGGAAATACATGAAATGCACTTAATACAAGAAAATAGGTTTCTTGGTACCACCAGAGAAATGGACACACACTCATCCGTTCCCTCAAATGAAGGCTTTGTCAAATTTCCCTCCAAACTTAGACCTCTTGATTCAGGAAAGACTGAGTTAACTTCTTCCAGAAATTACAGTGAAGACGTAGAATCAGGTGCCTGCACCTGATTCCCTCCAGATTTTGCTTTGCTGTTTTGTGTCCTCTTGTTATAATAAGTCTTAGCCATGAGTATGACTACATGTATCACAAGTTTTCCCCTAGAGAATCACTGAGCTGGGGGTGGTGGTCTTGTGGGACCCCCAACACATCTGAATCTCAGATTCACCACTCAAAGGCCAAGGGGCACCAGTACTTGTGAGATTAACTTCTTTGCACTGGACATCCAGCTGGTATGTCACAAAGATTGTTCTGTTAACACTTCACGATGATCCCGCGATTCAGAATCAAGTCTTTTTCAGATGAGGAGACAGAGGGGATGTAACCTGCACAAGGTCTTGATTCAAACCCATGTCTCCCTGACCTGTAGAAAGCAGATACTTAGCCTCAGGGAGCTCAAAAGAGGGTGGGAGAGTACAGAGCAAGGGCATTTCCATGGGGATAACCACCAGGCATTCCTAAGAGCAACCAGAACACTTGATCTAGCAGAAGACGACTTCTAAGGGTAAGAAGCAGTTACAGAGGGCAGTCTGGGTGGCCCAGTGGTTTAGCACCACCTTCAGCCCGGGGCCTGATCTTGGAGACCGGGGATCGAGTCCCACATCAGGCTCCCTGCATGGAGCCTGCTTCTCCCTCTGCCTGTGTCTCTGCCTCTCTCTCTCTCTCTCTCTCTCTCTGTGTGTGTGTGTGTCTCATGAATAAATAAATAAAATCTTAAAAAAAAGGGAAGCAGTTACAGAGATGGATCAGAGTTTTAGAATACTTAATATTTAAGAACGGTCATTGATCTGTGGAGGCAGCAAGACAATATTTTAAATCAGAGTTGTCCTTGAAAATCTGTGACATAAGGTCTCACAGGCCAGCTTCTCAGAAGCTCTGTGGGGGAGATGGGACCTCAGTCTAAAAAGGTGATTGGTGGGGCATCTGGCGGGCTCAGTCGGTGGAGCATGAGACTCTTGACCTCAGGATCGTGAGTTTGAGCCTCATGTTGAGTGTAGAGATTACTTAAAAATAAAATCTTAGAAAAATAAAATGAAATAGGAGCACCTGGCTGGGTGGCTCAGTCGGTTAAGCAGCTGACTCTTGATTTTGTCACAGGTCATGATCTCAGATCAAGCCCGGCACTGGGCTCCATGCTGGGGGTGGAGTCTGCTTAAGATTCTCTCCCTCTCTCTTGGTCCCTCTGCCATTCTCTCCCTCCAAATAAATAAATAAATTAGTTAATTAATTAAAAAGATGATTGGCTGCACTCCAGGTAAGAGGAATATTAACAGTGGCCATTTTGAAACCTATCCAGTAGGGCTCTGGTATTAAATGGTGTCAAAATCTGTGAGGTGCACTTCCCCCCCTTTACCCACCCAGCCAAGACAATCTGAGGAAGGTTGAGGCCAAGTGTATGGTTTCTTTTGAGAAGGAGGGATCAGTGGTACCTACAGGAGCCAAAAACACTGTGGAACACAGTGCTGCTCTGAGATAGGAGGGCAGGTGGAGGGAGGAAAGGGGCTAAAAATATCCATTTACAGGGCACATCTGTGCCAGAGGGTTGATATACATTACCTCATTTAATCTCAAGAATCCTGAGGTAGGGATTATTGGCTTCATTTTATAGATGGAGAAAACTGAGCTCAAGACAATGGTAATTAGCTCACGTTCATGGAATTAATATGCGCTGGCATTAGAATTTGAACTCAGCTCTGTGTAGCTGCAAACCCAGACGCTTCTTTTTTGTTTTGTTTTTTAAAGATTCATTTTCTTTTTTAAGACTTTATTTATTTGAGAGAGAGAGAGAGAACAGGAGCAGGGGGAGAGGGAGAAGCAGGTTCCCTGCTGAGCCAAGACCTCCCCTCAACGTGGGGCTTGAGCCCAGGACCCTGGGATCATTACTGAGCCAAGGCGGACGCTTAACCGAGGAGCCACCAGTGCCACCACCCAGACGCTCCTCAACATGGCTCTGCCTCTGTTGCTGAGCCCGGGGTGATGTCAGGGTGTAGAATTTAGGTGGGGGTGTCCCTACTGATGCCATAGAGCAAGGGTGTGAACCTCAAGGGGAAGCTCAGGATGGAACCAAGGGCCCTGTGAGCCAGACTGGACCCACAGGGAGTAAGGGAAGAAGCTGAGTGTCCCCTAGATGTTTGTCTTGTCCCCATGAGCACATCTCAAAAGAAGAAATCCTGGGACACCTGGGTGGCTCAGCGGTTGGGCATCTGCCTTCAGCCGTCGTGATCCCAGGTCCTGGGATCGAGTCCCACATTGGGCTCCCCTCAGGGAGCCTGCTTCTCCCTCTGCCTGTGTCTCTGCTTGTCTCTCTGTGTCTGTCATGAATAAATAAATAAAATCTAGGGATCCCTGGGTGGCGCAGCGGTTTAGCGCCTGCCTTTGGCCCAGGGCGCGATCCTGGAGACCCGGGATCGAATCCCACATCGGGCTCCCGGTGCATGGAGCCTGCTTCTCCCTCTGCCTATGTCTCTGCCTCTCTTTCTCTGTGACTATCATAAATAAATAAATAAATAAATAAATAAATAAATAAATAAATAAATAAATAAAATCTGAAGAAAGAAGAAGAAATAATAATAATAATAATAATAATAATAATAATAATAATAATCCTGGCATTCCTTTAAGGAACCCTAAATCAGGGAGAATGTTCCAGAGGCATCTTCCAGCGCCCCCATGTGGCCGGGACTTCAGGGCTCCCTTAGTACTGGTTCTGCTCCCAATGTGTATCTGAAATCCGGTCATCTGCTCGGTGGCCGCCACCTCCGAATCCACAGCAGGTGGGCTTTCCTCCCCCCCCCCCGCCACCCCCCCATTCTGCCTCCCGCCACCTAACCTCTATGTTAGGGTCAAAGCGCCGCCTCAAGCTGCCCTCAGACACCCTTCCCACTCCGTCAGGGTCAGTCCCCAGACCTGCCGCCTCAGGCCTCGGCTTCTATCCCTGGCACCTCTCAGCTAGTTCCTGCCATGCGGCTGCACCGAGGCATCCAGCACCTTCCAGCCCAGGGCCTTCACAAAATAGCATTTTCTTTTCGGAACCACCTAGCCAGCCATCTCACAGCCGCCTTCTTCTTCTTCTTTTTTATTTTCCTTTTCCCAGCTCTGCTGAGCTATCAGGGCCATATAACCCTGTATTAGTCCAAGGTGCAGCGCGTAAGGATGGGGTGTTTGTGCAGACTGTGACATGATCGGTCCGGGAGGTCTGGTTAGCCTCTGCCACCACACAGTCACACGTCACACGTTTTCTGAGTGAAGGACAGGCAGGGCCAGGTAGGGAGAGGCAGGTAGGGGGCTACGTGATCAGACTCCCAGAACTCCCAGAAATGCTGAGGAACAACCCGGACCACCCCGCCCCGGGCATCAGAGGTGGGGTCTCCCTAGGGCAGTCACTTGTGGCCAACCAAGCATAACCAGACTCTAGAAGCAGGAGAAAGCCACTACAGATGCTGTCGGCAGCCCTTATTCAAACCAAGTCATTGGGAGAATGAAAAGACCACAGCTTCCCGGTCGGTGGGACTGTCCGTGGAGAGAGGCCCATTGGCGGCCTGTCGGGACCCTGTCACCCCCAAGAGCTTCCTTTCCATGGCCTTGCTCAGTAAAACCCTTCCTCTTTACCCGCTCTCCTTTGCCAGATCCATCCTTCAACTCCTGAGACAAGAACCTCGCTGTCCTGCTTCATGTTCTTGTGGTGAGAACTTTTAAGCTCTCCTCTCCCAGCTACTTGCACATACATGCCCCAGTGTGGTAATAACTGTGCTCACCATGCTGGCCCTTCTGTCCCCAGAACTTACTTCTACCTGGAACTTTGTACCTTTTGACCCCCTTCGCCCAGGTTCCATGCAAACGTCACCTTCTGACGCATACTTTCCACCCTTCAGGCCATTTCTGTCTAACTAGGTCCCCTCCGACACCGTCTCAGAGCACCCCGTGCTTCCACAACACGTCAGGACTGCTCATTTCTAGTTATTTCCACCATTATCTGGTTGGCAGCCATCCCCCCCCCCCAGGACCGTAAATCCCAGGGTGGGATGTGTTGTCCAGTCTACCGAGTGGGTTCCCAGCCCCGCAGTATGGTAGGTGTCCCCAACTGAAATCGGTAACACCCCACCAATACTTACTGAGCATCTACTATGTGCTCGGCCAATCCTGGGTCTGGGGATCCAGGCATGAATAAAAGGGAGCTCTCTCTGGGGGCAGGTTTCATGTGTATGGACAAGACACACGTAAAGAGAGGCCAGATGATGACGACAGACCCCGGGAGGTACTCAGGGCAGGGGAAGGCCACTCGGGATCTCTGGGGCGAGCCTTAGGCAATGAGCAGCAGCAATAATAGGCGACCACTGGTGACATCTGGCAGCAGCATTGTCACTCACCTCCCAGATAAACCAATTTTTTCCAGTTCTCAGACTCCAGGATTTCATCATGCGGGTAGTAGCTCTGGTCCATCATGAAGAGAATCATAAGGGAGGCCATGCAAGAGAGAATGAACGTGTTGCCTTTGGTCAGAAGGGAGGTGGAGGCCAGGAGACAGGAAGCATAGCGGCAGGGGAGGCCCTTATAGGTGAGCTGAGCACCTGCCAGGGAGAGAAGAGGTGGGGGTTAGCAGCTCCCCCAGTGAGCCCTTCTGTCATGATGTCTTCCCTGCCCCACGTTCCACGTGTCCCCCCTTGCGGGGCCGTGGCAGGCTATGAAGCATTTAGCGATTCATGGAGGTGCTGTGTGGGTTCTGCGCTTGCCCCCTGCGGTAAGGAGGCTGCCGGGACCGGGCATGGGTGCTGGCCCCAAGGACTGCTCCTTAGTGGGGTCCCAGGAGGCCAGCTGGCCTGCACCTACCCTTGCATGCATCTGACCTTGGGCCCGACCTTGCCAGAGCTCCGTTTCTCCCCCTGTTGTGGGACGCTAGAGGGTGACCTCTAGTTCTAGGCTCTGGGAGTCTATGGGCAACACCTGAAGGTCACACAGTGGGAGAAAGGCACGGCCAGTCGGAGAGCCTCGGGGCCCTGGCCACCCCCTACCTGGGCCCTGCCAATGCGGCCTGCGGTGGGCCTGGGGCACCAGGGAAGGAAAGAGGAGGCACCCCCAAAGGAGCAGAGTTGTTCACGGCCCCCCTGCCTGGCTCCCGACCCTCAGCTAGAGTTGGGGTTCACTCACCAGTTGAGTAAAAGCACAGGCGGAAAGTAGCAGCTAACACATAGATGATGGCCAGGAACCCGTTCAGGGGCCCGTCCACACCCAGGAGCAGGGCTGAGGCCAGGCCGAAGGTGGTGAAGACAGCGAAGTCATTCAGCTCGACTCCTGCTCAAGGAGGCCAAGGTTAGAACTTAGCCCATCTGCCTCGTACCTTAGTCCCCTCTGGTGGGGGCGCTGCAGTGGAGCCCAGCGAGCTGAGGTCCCAGAGAGCAGCAGCTGCTCCCCCCCACCCCTGGGGGGGTCAAGGACAGGGGCTCCTCCTCGCTCACACTGACCCAGCAGCCTCAGACAAGTTCTCCCTCCTCCCGGGTCTTAGGTTCCCATCCTTGAACATCCAGGATTGGACCACAACTGGATGCAAACCGACAAGCTGTGGAACCCTTTCCTCAAGCAAAATCTTACATGGAAATATTTTCTTATATTTTAAACCAGCTGCTCTGCTGGGGGGATTTTTCATTTCCCCACTGCTCACCACCACCACCACCATCACCCTACCATCACCACCACTCCCAATCCCCAGATCGGCCCTGACAGGGAGGCAGGGCAGATGAGGAAACTGCAGGCCAGGGCAAGGATGGCTCAAGGTAGCAAGTGAGCCAGCAGATGGAGGAGCTAGCCCTAGGCCATGAGGCTCCCAAAGTGCTCCTGGGCTGCTGCTGCTGTCCTCAGCGGGATGTGAACAGAAGCCGTGACTGATGAAGGCCTGCTGGTATTAGAGGGTGGAGGCGTGACCTGAGATGAGGGCTCCTGGGGTCAGAGATTAGAAGTCTGAGGCCTGGACTCACCTGACTTGCAGCAGAGGCTGAGGTGTCTGGTTATCGCCCCAACGGCCGTGTCTAACAGGAAGCTGATCAGAAGCATCCAGGAGGCACAGTGGCATCTCCTAGAGTGTAGGGCAGCAGGCCCAAGCAGGACAGCTCCTTCATGGGCTCCAGCAGACAACTACTCCACGTACCCCCAGTACACCAACACACTTCCTGTACCTCCACCCTGCATGTTCCTCACACTCCTGTTCTTTCTGGAACACGCTGCTTTATACAACACACACACCCGCACACACTCCTGCCATACTCTCAATCCACAGTCTTAACGGGGTGCCTGAGGCCTCTAGATAATCAGTAAGGTCCCCTCCAACTCTAAGTCCCAGGCATATTTGAGGGCACGGGGTCCTATGTTCTAGGCCAGCCTCTGCAACCATCTCACTGTGAATTCTTAGATAAGTCACTCCCCACATCTCTAGGCCTCTCTTCCTCCATCTGTAAAATGAGGGGTTTGTGCCAAATGATTTAATAGATATAGACCTGTTTAGATTATCTATTTCTCCTAGCATAAGTTTTGGTAACTTATGACTTTTAGGGAACTGGTCCATTTCATTTCAGTTATCTTATAGAGTTGTTCGTAATATTACTTTGTGATACTTTTAATGTCCGTGGGATCAGTAGTGATGGCTCCTCTTTCATTTCTGATATTGGTACTCTGTGTCTTCTCTGCTTTTCTTTATTTTTCTTGGTTAGCCTGCCTAGAGGCTTATCAATTTTATTGATATTTCCAAAGAATCAGCTTTTGGGGAGCGCCTGGGTGGCTCAGTCAGTTAAGCATCTGTCTTTGGCTCAGGTCATGATCCCGGGGTCCTTGGATCGAGTCCTGCATTGGGGTCCCTGCTCAGCGGGGAGTCTGCTTCTCCCTCTCTCCCTGGTCATTCCCTGCCCCCCACCACTCCCATGCAAATAAATAAATAAAATCTTTGAAAAAGAAGAATCAGCTTTTGGTTTCATTGATCTTCTCTACTGATTTTTTATTTTCAATTTTATTGATGGCTGCTCTCATTTTTACCATTTCTTCTCTTCTGCTCACTTTGGATTTAATTTCTTATTTTTCCTCCTAGTTTACTAAGGTGGAAGCCTTACTTATCGATTTTATATCCCCCTTCTTTTCAGTTCTTCTAAGACTTCATTTTTTTTGTTTTTGGAGAAGTTTTAGGTTTACAACAAAATTGAGAGGAAGCTACAGAAATTTCCCATATTCCCCCTGCCCCACATATACATAGCCTCCCACATTAGCAATATCACTCACCAGAACAGTACATTCAGGTTCTTGGTAGGTACTAAGAATGAACCTGCACTGACACATCATAGTTACCCAAAGTCCATAGATTACCTCGGGGTTCACTCTTGATGTTGTACATTCTGTGGTTTTGGACCTATGTGTGATGACATGTATCCATCATTATGGTACCTGCAGAGCATTTCCACTGTCCTAAAAATCCTCTATACCTATTCATTTCCCCCTACCTGACCCTGGCAACCGCTGATCTTTTTATAATCCTCATAGCTCTGCTTTTCCAGAACATGATATTATTGTAATCATATACTATGGAGCATTTTCAGATTGGCTTCTTTCATTTGGTGATATGAGCTAATAAATTCTCACATTACTCATGGTCTTTTCATGGCCCAATAGCTCATTTCTTTTTAGCACTGAGTAACACACCATTGTTAGGAAATACCACAGTTTATTCATCTGTTTATTTACTAGAAGATGTCTTGGTTGCCTGCAGGTTTTGGTAATTGTAAACAAAACATCATAAACATCCAACTGCAGGTTTTTGTGTGGACATAGCTTTTAATTAATTTGGATAGATACCAAACAATGTGATTGCTGGATGATATAGTAAGAGTATGTGTAGTTTTGTAATAAACTGTCAGACTGTCTTCCAAAGTGGCTGAATCATGGTGCACTCCCACCAGCAAGGATGAGGCCTGTTGCTCCACAAACTTGCCAGCATTTGGTGTTATCAGTGTTCTGGACAACTGGTTTGGCTGATGGGTGTGTAGTGGTATCTCACTGTTATTTTTTTTTCTCACTGTTATTTTAATTTGCATCTCCCTGATAGCATGTGATGTGGAGCATCTTTTCACATGCTTATTTGCCATTTGTAGATCTCCGTTAGTTGGTGAGGTGTCTGTTAAGGTCCTTGGCCCATTTTCTAATTGAGTTGTTTGTTTTCTTGTGGATGAGTTTTAAGCTTTGTCTATTTTATTTTAGTTTAGTTTAGTTTTTAGATTTTATTTATTTATTCATGAGAGACACGGAGAGAGAGAGGCAGAGACACAGGCAGAGGGAGAAGCAGGCTCCACACAGGGAGCCCGATGTGGGACTCGATCCCTGGACTCCAGGATCATGCCCTGGGCCGAAGGCAGGCGCTAACCCGCTGAGCCACCCAGGGGTCCCTACCTTTGTCTATTTTAGATTTTAGCCCTTTTTCAGATGTGCTTTTTGCAAATACTTTCTCCCAGCTTGCCGCTTATCTTCTAATTCTCCTGAGCTTGTCTTTCACAGAGTAGATTTCTCTTCCAATATATGCATTCAATGCTATATTATTCCCCCTCTAACTACTGTTTCACTGCATCTCAGAAATTTTATTTTATTTTATTTTTAATAAATTAATTTTTATTGGTGTTCAATTTACCAACATACAGAATAACACCCAGTGCTCATCCCGTCAAGTGCCCCCCCTCAGTGCCCGTCACCCATTCACCCCCACCCCCCGCCCTCCTCCCCCTCCACCACCCCTAGTTCATTTCCCAGAGTTAGAAGTCTTTATGTTCTGTCTCCCTTTCTGATATTTCCCACACATTTCTTCTCCCTTCCCTTATATTCCCTTTCACTATTATTCATATTCCCCAAATGAATGAGAACATACACTGTTTGTCTTTCTCCGATTGACTTACTTCACTCAGCATAATACCCTCCAGTTCCATCCACGTTGAAGCAAATGGTGGGTATTTGTCGTTTCTAATGGTCCATCTCAGAAATTTTAATGTTATACTTTCATTTTCTTTTAGTTCAAGACACTTTTCTTCTTTTTTAGAAAAATTATTTATTTATTCATGAGAGACACACAGAGAGAGGCAGAGACACAGGCAGAGGGAGGAGCAGGCTCCCTGTGGGGAGCCCGATGCAGGACTCTATCCGAGGACCCCGAGATCACAACCTGAGCCAAAGGCAGATGCTCAACCACTGAGCCACCCAGGTGCCCCTACGTTTTCTTCTTTAATCCATGTATTATTTAAAATTGTGTTGTTTCAAAGATAAACTCAAAATGGATGAAAGATCTAAATGTGAGACAAGATTCCATCAAAATCCTAGAGGAGAACACAGGCAACACCCTTTTTGAACTTGGCCACAGTAACTTCTTGCAAGATACATCCACGAAGGCAAAAGAAACAAAAGCAAAAATGAACTATTGGGACTTCATCAAGATAAGAAGCTTTTGCACAGCAAAGGATACAGTCAACAAAACTAAAAGACAACCTACAGAATGGGAGAAGAGATTTGCAAATAACATATCAGATAAAGGGCTAGTTTCCAAAATCTATAAAGAACTTATTAAACTCAACAGCAAAGAAACAAACAATCCAATCATGAAATGGGCAAAAGACATGAAGAGAAATCTCACAGAGGAAGACATAGACATGGCCAACATGCACATGAGAAAATGCTCTGCATCACTTGCCATCAGGGAAATACAAATCCAAACCACCATGAGATACCACCTCCCACCAGTGAGAATGGGGAAAATTAACAAGGCAGGAAACAACAAATGTTGGAGAGGATGCGGAGAAAAGGGAACCCTCTTACACTGTTGGTGGGAATGTGAACTGGTGCAGCCACTCTGGAAACTGTGTGGAGGTTCTTCAAAGAATTAAAAATAGACCTGCCCTACGACCCAGCAATTGCACTGTTGGGGATTTACCCCAAAGATTCAGATGCAATGAAACGCCGGGACACCTGCACCCCGATGTTTCTAGCAGCCATGTCCACAGTAGCCAAACTGTGGAAGGAGCCTCGGTGTCCATCGAAAGATGAATGGATAAAGAAGATGTGGTTTATGTATACAATGGAATATTCCTCAGGCATTAGAAACGACAAATACCCACCATTTGCTTCAACGTGGATGGAACTGGAGGGTATTATGCTGAGTGAAATAAGTCAATCGGAGAAGGACAAACAGTGTATGTTCTCATTCATTTGGGGAATATGAATAATAGTGAAAGGGAATATAAGGGAAGGGAGAAGAAATGTGTGAAATATCAGAAAGGGAGACAGAACATAAAGACTCCTAACTCTGGGAAATGAACTAGGGGTGGTGGAGGGGGAGGAGGGCGGGGGGTGGGGGTGAATGGGTGACGGGCACTGAGGGGGGCACTTGACAGGATGAGCACTGGGTGTTATTCTGTATGTTGGTAAATTGAACACCAATAAAAATTAATTTATTAAAAAAAAGACACATTGGCAATCAGCATGAGAGGGACTTTGGAGGTAGTGGACATTTTCTTAGTTTGAGAGCTGATGAAGCAGGCATATTCAGCTTGTGAAAATTCATCAAAGTGGGCACTATGTGTACTTTTCTTACTATATGTATTTCAATAAAAATTGATAAGAAAAAAAATAAAATTGTGTTGTTTAACCTCCACATATTTGGGGATTTTCTAGTTATCTTTCTGTTATTGATTTTTACTTTAATTTCATGTGGTCCAAGGGCATACTTCATATGATTTCTATTCTTTTAAATTGGTTAGGGTAGGTCTTATAGACTGGATGTGTGAAGAGAAGAAAGTGTATTCTGCTGTTCCTGGATAAAATATTCTATAAACATCTGTTAGATCCAGTTGATTGATGGTGCTATTTGGATTGACTATCTCCTCACTGATTTTCTGCCAGCTGGATCTGCCAATTTCTGATAGAGGGGTGATGAAATATCCAACTGTGATAGTGGACTTGTCAAGTTCTCCTTGTGGTTCTATCCATTTTCATCTTACATATTTTGACGCTCTAACTGACGTCCAACAGCACTTTCAGACCCTACATTTGAGGAGTCCACCTCAAATGCACCTGCTGCAGTCCAGCACATGCTCCTGGACCCCCCTGAAAGCAGCCCCTGCAGTCTCAGGCCTAGGCTGCCATTTCTAAGTCTACATCCCGATCGCAGTGCTTGGATGGCCAAGCAGAAGCAGAGAGCCTGACCCCAGACTTCAGGTGTCACCAAACAGCCTCAGCAGTACTTCCTTTAGATCCATACCTATGTGTCTAATAGGAACCAGGCCCACCATTGTGGCCATAAAAACTACACTCGTGGAAGATTAGACTCAACTGAGAAGATAGAGATTTTCTTCTGCAGGTATGCTCTACTTTATAAGACCCCACAAATCCAGATGTAGAGAATCATAAACTTTTCAAACTGGAAGGAAACTCAAAACACCAGCAGGTAAAATCATCTTATTTTTATGGGTAAGAAACGGATCCAGAGATATCACGGACTGATGGTCATAGAGAATCAAACTGTTAGGATATCTGCATTATAAAGGATTTCTCTTTAAAGAACTGATTTGCCAAGGCCTTGAAACATGATTCACTTTATAGAAATATAATTTACTTACAAAATATAATTTGCTTTGCTTTTTAGGGGCCCATATACATGTCTCAGATTTTCCACAAGACTGCTAATTGTAAATATTCCCCAGCTCACATGTTCTCATTGAAGAATCAAAAATTTGGAATGAAAAAAAATTGTAATGGTAGGGCACGCCTGGGTGGCTCAGTCTTTGGCTCAGGTCACAATCCCGGGGTCCTGGGATCAAGCCCCACATCAGGCTCCCTGCTCAGCAGGGAATCTGCCTCTCCCTCTCCATTTGCCCCTCCTCCTGCTTGTGTTCTCTTGCTGTCTCTCTTTCTCTTTTAAAAAAATAAACCTTTTAAAAAAATTTTGGAGTGGGTAGCCTGCCTATCTGAGGATGATGTAAGGGCCACCAGAACAGAATCTCTTGATTTCTCTCACAAAGACCATTCTAGACCTCCATAGCTAGAAGGAACTAGAGAGATCACAGTGCAAACTCCTTGTTTTAGAGATGGAGAAAGCAAGGCTCAGGGATGTGACCTGCCAAAGTCACACATCAGGTTGGTGGTAGGACCGAGGCTAGGATCTTGGCCCCTTGACTCCCAACCTGCGACACTTCCTCCTGCTCCTGGCTGATCCTGTGCCTCAGTGCCTGGCTCTCTAGGCTCCCCACTCCTGCTGCCAGGCTGTTGGCTCCAGCTCTTGGCGAGGAGCTGGCTGGGCCCCAGACCTACTTGCAGAAGCTGCAGAAGATGGAGAAGAGCCCCAGGACCATGTTGGACAGGGCCAAGGCATTGGTAACATCCTTCCAGGAGAATTCGTTCATCTGGGGATGGCTCTGGTTGTTGGTCAGGAAGGAACTGGTGCACAGATCTGGGGCTCAGGGGAGAGGAGGAAGGGGTTCCCAAGGTCAAAGAGTCCCAGAAGAGGCTCCCAGGGACCAGGCAGTTCCCGCTCGCTGGACCTCATCCCAGAACCACAGCCTCCCAACACTGTTTCACAGACTGGGGTGAGACCAGGAGGCCAAGACAAAGGTGCTGAGGATGCATGTCTTAGGAAGCGCAACAGCAAAGCAAGTGAGCCTGCACAACCAGTTTCCACTGCCTCTGACCGTACCCCTCGTACCCTCCGCTGATCGCACAGATCTCCCTCCCGCCCAGGTGGTGACTCTCCCGGTACCCCCGTGGCCCAGGGGCAAGACGTATGGGCCCTTACTCCCATCTGAGAGGTGAGCCTTTTGTCATAGGTGAGCCCCTTACAAAAAAATTATAAAGCTATTTTTAATACTTTATAATTTATCCCTATGGGGTGAACCCCAGAGGAATAAGAAAGAACCCTGGGAAGGGGTAACCCCCTCACTCCCAGGAGTGGCCCAGGGGGTGAGAGGCTCCCTGAGAGGTAGAAAGCACAAAGAGACCAGCTGTGGAGTCAGGCTCCTTTGTCCAGCCCTCAGGACAGGGCTGCCGCCGAGGTGCCCAAGGCCCTGGTGCTGACAGGCCCCGACCTGAACAGCAGGCCCAGCTCCAACAGGGGAAGAGGGGAGAAACAAGACAGGAGCATGGACGGCACAGAAAGTTCACATGGTGCTTTCCACGATGTTCTCTCTCCTGATCCTGACGCCCTCAGGAGCTGGTGTTATCGTTATTTTACGAATGAAAAAACAGGTTCAGGGAAATGAGGTATCGGCTTAAAGTCACGCGTTAGGTGAGTAGAAGGCGATCCTGCCTGCCAGATTCTGATTCTGGTGCTTCCTCTGCCAGGGGCACAGCTCTGGGCAGGGGGAGGTTTGTGGGGTAGGAGGCCAAGGAGGAGCTCAGTGGGCCAGGCCCGTGGGGCAGCTACAGCCTCCCTGGGGGAGCAGCCCAGCCCATTCTCACAGCCCCCCTGGCTCTGTGTGTCCTCTAAGACCCAACACACCCTCCCTACAAATAAACTGCTTGTGGCATGAAGCCTCTTTTGGAGAAAGAGCCCCAGCACCTTCTGGAACAGGGAAGCCCCCTGGTTGCTGTAAGCACGCTGCCCGCGAACAGTAATCCTGCCCCTGAGTAAGATACACATGGTCCAAGGTGTTTCCACAGCCTCCTCCTCATTTCATCCTCACTCATTTTAAAGGGGGGTAAACTGAGCCTCTGCCTCGGCTCAGCCCCTGCGTCTAGCCCCAGGCCCCTCTGGTCTGGGCAAGAGTTAAGACAGTTTAGGGTCCTTTCCCATAAACCCTGCCACCAAGCTGTCAGAGGCTGGAAGGCCCTGAGCTTGGAGATTGGAACTGGGGCTTTATGAGAGGCCAGTGTCATTCACCAAGGCCATCCAGCCTCCTGAGACATCTCACATCAGGGCCCCTCTAAACATCAGACAGGAAGAGTCCTGGCTGAGCGATCTGGGAGGGGAGGGGAGCCAAGGGCTGGCTGCGTACCCCCTCCGCAGGAGCCCCCCGTCCCAGGCCCTCATGGGCCTCAGGGCTGACTTCAGCAAGACCTAACACCTCCGTGTCCAGCCCAGCCCACCCCTGCCTGGAGAGCAGCAGGTCAGCATCTCTACCCCTGGGTGGGGGGGGTGTCAGCAGGTGCCTGGGGCATTTCATTCTGCACTACTTCAGTTTTCTTTTTTTTAAATTAACGATCAGTTATCTATTCTATTATCCCTGTCATTCAGGAAGCACTTTCACATCCATGGTTTGCACTGGCCCCGTGAGGCCAGCCAGGTGAGGGTTACTGTCCCTACTCGCAGGGTGAGGCAACGAAGACTCCAAGAGGGGAAGAACCTTGCTCGAGGTCACACTTCTACTCTGCACTCTGGGGTCTACCACCCAGCAGGACGGAGCACTGTATTGCCCGTAGGCCCAGACTGAGCTAGGCGCTGGGGAAAACCTTCATGGAATGTCCAGTCTCCCCAGGAAAATGAGACTCATGCACCCATGTGGGGACTCCCAGACTCTGTTCATCTTACAGATGAGGAAACTGAGTTTTCAAGACAGTCAAGTTACTTGTCCCAGTGAATGATGGAGCCAGGCTGTGACTCGGGCCTCCTCTTTCCCAGTTAAATGCCATTTTCAACATATTGCACAGGTCCCTGGTGTAAAAGGATGTGGACCTAAGAATAAGGGCTCTAGAAACCCAGAGGAGAAAGGAGCAGCCCATTCATTCAGCAAACTTTGGTCATGCGTGGAAGAGAAGATCAAGACCTGGAGTCCTGTCTCAAGGAGGTCAGTAGAGCAGAGGAATTCAAGCCTGCACTGAAATGCGGAGGTGGCCAGGCCGCCAGGGGAGCACAGAGGAAGGGTCGAGCCTGCCAGGGGGCATAGAGGTTTCTCGGATGAGGGGGGCAGAGCTGAGGTTTTGCATGGCAGTGGCCTGTGGGGCTAAATCACTCCACTCCCACACTTTGTGCCCCCGTCGGGGCTGCCCGTGGACCCAGCATGGAGTCCATCTCCTTCCTTTGGTGTCCAAGCCCTTACGATGAGGCTGGCTCAGCTCTCAGCCTCCTCTCTCGTGGGCGCCTTGCTCTGCTCTCCCTCTGCTCTCGGGTTGGTTGGTGGTCCTCCTTGGGAAGCCAGCCCCCCCCACCCCTCCAGGTGAGGGGCGCCTCCTCCGCGCAGCCACATGGCCATGTGCTCACCACGTGACACTTGGCACTCTGCACTGGCACTGCCCATCTTGTCTTCCTCCTCCTCCAGGGAAGCAACTTGAGTGCAGGCTGAGGTCCCCGGTGCCCAGCATGAGGCCTGACAAGAGAAGTTGTTCAGTGATGGTTGAATTAGCCAAGTAGGTCAGTCTGGTGCTTCCCTGAGATCCTCTCGCTGCTCCAAATCACACCTCTGCCAATCACACCTGCCAAAGCCTATTCAGTCTGTCCCCCGCAAAGCCTTCTCGAATGAACCCTCAACAATCCACACCCTCAGCACACCCAGCATCTACCTAACGCATGCGATTTTCCATTTACCCATTTTATTTGTTTATTCATGAGACACAGAGAGAGGCAGAGACACAGGCAGAGGGAGAAGCAGGCTCCATGCAGGGAGCCCGAGGTGGGACTCGATCCTGGGAATCCAGGATCACGCTCTGGGCTGAAGGTGGGTGTTCAACCCCTGAACGTTTCTTGTTTGTTTATTTGTTTGTTTTTCATTTACTCGTTTTAAAATACACCTGTCAATGCCTACGGGGGCCGTTGTGGGGTGGAGAGAACAAGAGCGAGGCTGCATCCTCAAGAAGCAAGGGGTCTGGTAGGAGAGACAGGCCCGAGTAGGGACAATGAAGGCAGTGTGGCCAGTGTCACGCCAGACGAGGGGATGCCCGGTTGCTGTGGGTGCTCCGGGGACACCGGACTAAGTCTGCTGAGGCAGCAGGGGGAAGGTTTCACTGATGCGGTGACATTCAGGGAGGGTCCCCAAGGATGAGGGTCGGCCAAGCTGAGGAAGGTGCTGGAGGCTGGATCCCAGGGAGAAGGGGGGGCGGTCACTGGAGGTGCCCTGGGCAGGGAGGCCACAGTTGGGGATGTGTGGTGATCCCGGTAATGTTTGGCAAGGAGGCGTCCGGGTCGGATCCGGTTGGGAGTGGAGGGGAGAAAGTGGAGAAGACGAAGCCAGCGAGCGGGGATGGCAGGAGAGGGCCCGGCGACCCCGGGTGCGCGAGCTCTGGGCAGGGCGCTGCGGCCACCGGCTGAGAGGTGCCCCCACCCGGGCCCTGCGGCCCCCTCCCGCGGCACACGGCCACGCCCCCCCCCACCCGCCCGCCCGTCCAGGCCCTGCAGGCCCCACCGGCTACACCACCACCCCGGACGCCCCCCCCCCCCCCGACCCCGAGAGAAGATGGAAGAGATGGAGCCAGCCGGGCTCCAGGACGGCTCCACCCCCCACTCCCACCCCGGGGCAGAAAGCGGACAGCACTCCGGGGGGGCGAGGCACGTGCGCTCTGCCCCGCATGCTCACCTGGGGACCAGGCATTCCCGGGTGGCGAGGGCCGCACTCCGTCCCCGCTCCCGGTGCGGTGGAGGCCAGCCCAGGGCCTGGGGGAGCCGCACAGGTCCCAGGCCTCTTACTCCTGGCTCTTAGCTCACAATCCCCGAGAGGCAGGGGAGGGGCAGGGGGCTCTAGTTGGCAGGAAGAGGGGCTTCAATCGCCGAGGAGCCCTAGGCCACCCTGCGGGAGCCTTGGGGAATGGAGAGATCTGGGAGGAGGCCACTGGCCTCTCCATTGTGGCCAGCAAGGGAAGGCTTGGGAGGTGAAGAGGCCGGAGTGCAGACGTGTGGGAGGTGGGCTGGAAGGGCTTTGGGGAGGATAAGGCTGCAAAGGGTTACCGGCCCAGGCTGTCAAGGGCCCCTAGGGCAGGGCTTTTGCTGTTTGGTTCACTGCTGTGTCTTTGCACCTATAAGAACTGCTTAGGCATATGGTAAGTCCCCCCATCCACCCTAGTATTTGTCGGATGAATGACCAGCCGAGTAATTTACACTCAGTCCTGAGCATAGTGGGGAAGTGACATGGTCAGGTTGGTTTGAACCTGGAATGAAAGATCATTCTGGCAGCTGGTGTAGAAGAGGTCTCTGTAATACTGCAGGAGATGAGGCAGGCTGGAGTGAGGACGTATTGCTAGACGGCAACAGAAGGGAATGGAAGGAAGTAGCCAGACTAGGAGCCATTGTGAAAGGTATCCCAGGGGTGCGGGAGAGGAAGGAGCGGGAGGAGTCTCTGAGGTGTCTAAATTTGGCAACTGGATGAATAGTGTGCTACAGAAAGGAGCTTGTTAATATTGGGCAGGTTCCCCAGACAAGTCCTGACACCTG